CACACGCACACACGCACACACGCACACACGCACACACGCGCACACGCACACACGCACACACGCACACACGCACACACGCACACACGCACACACGCACGCACGCACACACGCACACACGCACACACGCACACGCGCCCACCCACCCACCCACCCACGCACGCACGCACGCACGCACCCACCCACCCACCCACCCACCCACCCACCCCCACCCACACACACACTATAAAAAAGGCTGAGACACAGACACGGATTCAGTTTTAGTTTGAATCGCGCACACACACACACACACGCGCGCACGTGCATAAAGCACACTCTCTTTTGTTGGCTTGCATTGTGGCTGGCCTCGGAGGTGACATCTTCGCGACCTGGGCCGTGGGTGGCACTGTGGCAGTGGCGCCTCGCATGCTTTTCTTCGCCAACCTCGGGTGGGCCCTTGAGCGACTGGCCGTGACGCATGTGACCTGCACGCCCTCTCTGTGGCAGTCCCTGGAGCGGCTTGGCGCTAGAATCGCTTGAGGGTGCCAGCCTGTCGGAAAAGGAGGCTTAGTTCGAGCCGAGGCCAGGGCCGCTCGATCTCACCGGACTCACCGTGTGCCTGGGTGGCGAGCGAGCGCCGCAGCCCTTGCTGGACCATTGGGCACCCAAGCTGACGCTGCTGAACACCTACGGCACAACGGAGTGTCCTAACCCTAGTGCACGGGCTGTGTGTCTTTTGGGGTTCCTGTGCGCAAGCGTGTTGCCATGAGGGCCTGCAAGTTGCAAGGCACCGTTTGGCAGACGCTGCGGCGCATGAACTTGGGGGACACGGCAACCCTGGTGGGCCGCCCCTACGAGGGAAATGAGATTGGGATCCTGGTGGCTCGCTTGCAGTTCAAATGCGAGGCCTAAAGTTGGCCTAAAGGCCAAGCAACTCGCCGCGCAGCTCGTCGCCATATCACTGTATATCAGCTGCGCCATGCTGCGCCCAAGGAGCGTGATGGCACTACTGCAATGCCGGCTGGGGAAGTGGGTGAAATCGTGCAAGGTGGGGTTCAAGTTGGGATCGGAAGCTCAGCTTTTGTGGCTTCATTTGGAGCATACATGCGGCAAATATGCGCATCTACCCGGCAAAGTCCGGCTGAGGCTACTACCGGCGTCCAGAGCTGACCGCCCAGAAGTTCCCCGAGCTGCAGGGCAAGCGCTGGTACCGCACCGGCGACGGTGGCCGCCTGCGGGGCTCGCGGGAGCAGTCGGATTTGGAGCTGGAGGTGGTCGGCCGCTTTGATAGCCAGGCGGGGCGGGGCGGGGCTGCATGGCAGGCTGAGTTTTGCAGATTCAGTGGCATTCTGTGGCACCAATGTCATGCCAGAAGTCATGCAAGTGACGTTTGGCTGCTTAGCATGGCGCGCGGCCCGTGTGAACACAGGCTTAACTTGGCATTGCCTGTTTTGGAAAGGTTTTGGAGTGCTGATCAGATGTCTAAGACTTGTTCCATGCATTTGTTGCAGTCAGATTCCTGCGAAGCATGGATCAAGCTATCATGAGAGGGTTGCCCATCCGCGCGCACGGACATCCGTGCAATATGCTCGTGCTTGCACGTGGCCTCTCCCATCGGAAATTCGAAATTTAGGAGTGCAAAGTCAGTCCTAGAGGCAAAGCGGAAACAACAGGCCGTGCCTAGAATTGAGTCGCTCACAGGGGTACAAATTTCTAGGGCCAAAGCGACAATGGCAGCAAGGTGAAGATCCGGGGCATGCGCGTGGAGTTGGGAGAAATCGAGGCAGGTGTCGTCAAGTCCTCTGCTGGCTTACTCAGCAACTGCGCGGTCAAGCTCCGAGACACCTTCTTGGTGGCCTACTGTCAGGCCGTGCGTCTCACCATATCTCTCGCTCGTAGCATCGTGCTACCAGGCAAATCGACATATGCCAGGTTTCCTCAGCTGCGGCTGTCATGATGCACGAGCCATACTGTGCGAGAGCTGCAAAGCCCAACCCCAACAATCCCACCAAATCGCTTTGACTTAGGTATTCTTCCCGTGGTGAGCGACTTTCTGTTGCAGCGAGCCTCCCACGAGCTGCCCCGGCATATGCTGCCCAGCAAGTTCGTGCTGATGCAGAGGCTGCCTTTGACTCCCAACGGGAGTCTTGACACCCAACATTGCAGCCGCGCGTGCCATGCACTCCAATTAGTTGAGGGAAGTATTGCTTGCAACGCTCCCTGAGACAGAGAGGCAGCCAGTGCATGGCAAGAAAAAAACAATTTCTGGGACTACAGGGATGATGCTAGAGCGTATTTTCGTATCGCCGTCGCATTGCTGCACAGAACGAGGAAGGTGGATGGCAAGTCGTTGCCGGAAGCAGTCGACTGTGTCTCCACTTCATCTGCACCACTTACCAGCTTGGAGCGGGTGGTTGCGGGAGTGTGGGAGGACACTCTCGGCAAAAATGGCGATAAGAGAGTTACGCCCGCAAGTCCAAACAGTATCAAATGGCGTGTGTAACAAGGACCTGTGCACTGGATTTTTGGGAGGATCTCTGATCGCGGTAGACGGTTCTACACAAGGACTTCTTCACAAGGCCCCTGCAGGCCATGTGCACGATGGAAGATCCTGCACGACAGCTCTGAAAGTGATTCGTTTAAAAAGTCCCACGATATCATGAGAGGATACCTTTTGCAAAGCTCTTGCAGTCAAATCTCGCAAAGGACTGTCCATTGAGATCCTCCCAAGACATGTGCACAGAACGTGGCCAGAGACCCTGCAAACGAGACTGCCTTCTTCAATGGTAAATGCGTAAAACTCGAGGACGGTAGTTGGGGGGTGTCTTGTAGACATTTAGGGACACATCCGGAGCTTGGCTCCAGGAAGTTCTGGGCCGAAAAGGAGTTGGTCCGAATGACCACTTCCTGGCTTTGGGTGGCCACTCCATGTCGGTCCTCCAGGCCCGGCTCGTGACATGTCGCGTCGCGCCAGTCGCGACGCAATGGAGAGGTGTCACGGCGGCTGTTGAAGTTGGCTGCCGCGACTGGCCAGGACGCCAGGGCCTCAACGCGAGCGCTTCAGGCCGACGAGATGAGAGTCTGAGAGTCTGAGAGAGTCTGAGGTGAGCCCCGCCAGTGCCTGGGGCATTTTGTTGTCGCCGGAGAAGCTGATCCACTCCCCACGCCTGCGGCTCTACTGCCAGATGCTGGCGCGGGGCGGTGTTCGCTTCTGGGATTCTGCGGAGGCTGCTGAGCCTGTGAAGGAGGCGGCAAAAGATGGCAATAGCAAGCAGGGGAGGGAGTAATTAGTCAGCTGGCTTGGCCGCTTGCTTGAGTCAGAGGAAGATGCGGCAGACCTGCGCATCAACTACATCAAGCACAAGGTCAAGCGAGATGTGGAGCTGGATCACGCTGCGTGGGAGCAGGTGCAGTTTCTTGCAGTGCGCCACAACACAAGCTCAAGTTGTGTGTCGTGCGTTCAGGTGCCGCAAGGCGGAGCTGGGCTGATGCTTTGCCGTCGCCTCGCCGTGAAAGCGGCACAGCCTACGGGCTCAGCTGAGGTCGGGCAGCTGAGGTGGGGCTGCTGCCGCTTCTGCAGCTGTTGTTGGCTGAGGCCCCGGTGGAAGGCTGGGCGTGGTTTGGGCCTGGCATTGCCCGTCTGGACTGGCGCGTCGACTTTCTGGAGGCACGCTGGAGGGCGAATACGGCAGACACGGCTCCACACCGCTGATATTGGCCCGGCCCTTGGTCCCTTGGGCCTTGGGCCCTTGGGTCGTTGGGCCGTTGGGCTTGGGCGTGTGCTTGACTCGGTGCTCCCAGGCGGTGATGGGCAATCATGTGTGCTGCGCTGAAGAGCTGCTGAGCCATTCTGCAGCTCCGGACCAAAGAGATGCCAGAGCCACAGACTTGGAAACTGAACAGGGCCGGATGCTGTGAGCAGCCACCTTTAGGCTGGCGGCCGTAGTTGCTAGGGGATGGTTTGTAGGCGTCATTCCCTCCGGGAAATTTGCAAGGTGTACCCTTTAAAAAGGCAAGCCCGCACGCAGCTATAGTTGCTCTGGACAAGCCGCATGATCTCGTCCACCAAGCTTAAGCATAAGCTTGAGCTCTTATTCAGCGACCTTCAGTTGTTTGCTGGCAGGCTGTGCAAGCCAACAGTGTTTATGAACGCTGGAGACTGAACACAAGCGCAGGGCCCTGACTGCATGCAAGCGCTTCGCGCAAGAATCACAAGAAGCGAAAGCGCACGGGAACTTTTGATGCTGTGCAGAATTATGTTTCCTTTGAAACCCTGAGCAACCTTTGTGGGGTCAGCCATGTGCAGAAGCAAAAGTGTACTCAATGGGGAGTGCCTCATTGCGTGCCAACAAAATCCCAAGCCCTGCGCATTCTCAAGCCATTTCTTGCTTCTTTCGTCGTTCTAACCGACGATGGACATTTGAATTCAGCGAGCAAGACGCACCCGTTGACATCGGGCAGCATGTCGCTTTTGCAGAGCCCATCTCCTCAAGTCTTCTGAGGCAATAGCACGCGCACAATCCGTCACATGAAGCACGGGCTGATGCGAGTTAGCATCTTGCAATTTCCGAAGCCCGCTTTTGCGGGAAGCCCAACGGGATTTGCGAAAGGCCTCCAAGTTTCTTGAGGCCCACGGCGCGCCGGTGCTGCACAAAGCGGCGGAACGCTGCGGGGAGCGCATGGTGTCGTTGCTGCTGGAGGCGCGCGGCGCAACACGTGCAGCCCGTGCCGTGCACGCCGCGCATGCCGCGCCTGCCGCGCCTGCTGCGCATGCCGCGCATGCCGCGCATGCCGCCTTTGGGCCAGGCACGGGCAGAGGTGGAGGCCGTGGCGCTAGCCTCA